TACCGGAGGGTCTGAAAGATATTGAATATTCCTCAGTCCGGAGAAGAGTCCGGTCCCCCCCCCCACACCAATTTTTTTGTGTTCAATGTCGACTTGGTATAGTTTATTACAACCTCGAGAAAAAAATGAAAATGAGTGTTCTTCATTGAAAATCAAAGTTTTTAATATACAGATCAAACATAATCCAATGTTGAATTCAATTGTTCGACGGAAAGTTTATCTCTGCCCATACTATGATAAAACTAGTTCATTTACATTAAGCGTATAGCTTCGCCGCAGCATGTCAGCTTGAGTACGAGATGGTGAACTTTCAATTTCATACACTACGTGCGTATTTCAATATAGTATTATATTGATGGTCGTTGCACTTCTACAGTGGTTAATTAAAACATTGACTTTACTTTGTTGCAGATGAGGCCTTGCCTGGGCGCAAGTGCCCTGCTCCTGCTGTGTACATACCTTGTCGGCACGGATGGCGTGTGCAACCACGGTTCGGACCCACTTCCACCCAAAGACACGGCCGGTAATTACTCCTCTAACGAATCTACCCTCTCTTTGCAGCAAGACACAGTCTCCGCCGGCGACAGTTCGCGGGCATTTGCCGACGCCGTCAGCTTCACGAATCCCCAACTGGAGCAAAACAACGACCTAGAGCTGAGACAGGTTGCCGACCTAGCCACCGCAGCTGACAGCAGCCCTTATCTCACTCCACCGGCAGCTGGAGCGCCCTCGGAGTCTTACGGGCCCCCATCGGGTTCGTCCGGCCCTCCATCCCAATCATACCTGCCCCCGTCAGACTCTTACGGACCACCGTCTGGTGGACCGGACTCCCATGATCATTCTTCCGGGCCTCATGGTGGCCCAGGAAGCTCCGGTCCTAGTGGACCTCCCTCAGACTCCTATGGCCCTCCTTCAGACTCCTACGGTCCTCCCTCTGATGGACCGCCCTCTGGCTCTTACTTCGGCCCACCGCCTCCTCCATCCTTTGGCTCTTCGTCCTTCGGCCCACCTCCGAAGTCATCTCACGGCCCACCCAAGTTTTTTGGTCCCCCACCTAAGTCTTCTTACGGACCACCAAAATCGTCGTATGGACCACCCCCTAAGACATCTTATGGACCACCACCAAGGCCAGAATATGGACCACCAAAGCCAGAGTACGGGCCACCAAAGCCAGAGTACGGGCCACCAAAGCCAGAGTACGGACCACCAAAGCCAGAATACGGACCACCAAAGCCAGAGTATGGGCCGCCCAAGCCAGAATATGGGCCGCCCAAGCCAGAATATGGACCGCCAAAGCCTGAATACGGACCTCCCAAACCTGAGTATGGACCTCCCCCAAAGCCGGAGTATGGGCCTCCTCCGAAACCATTTTTTGGTTCACCACCTAAGCCACACTTTGGACCACCCAAACCATCGTATGGACCACCAAAACCTCAATACGGCCCTCCGCCAAAACCATCTTACGGCCCACCAAAGCCAGAGTATGGACCGCCACCTAAGCCCTCATACGGTCCACCTCCTAAACCATCTTATGGTCCACCTCCTAAGCCATCTTATGGTCCACCGCCTAAGCCATCTTATGGTCCACCACCAAAGCCATCATATGGACCCCCTCCCAAGCCCTCATATGGGCCACCAAAACCTGAATATGGTCCACCACCAAAACCTGAATATGGTCCACCTCCAAGGCCAGAATATGGTCCTCCTCCCAAGCCAGAATATGGTCCGCCGAAGCCAGAATATGGACCCCCGCCAAAACCAGAATACGGGCCTCCCCCGAAACCAGAGTATGGACCACCGAAACCATCCTTCAGTTCTCCTCCTAAGCCATCCTACGGGCCTCCACCAAAACCGTCATATGGGCCACCAAAACCAGAATATGGGCCACCAAAACCAGAATATGGGCCACCAAAACCAGAATATGGGCCGCCAAAGCCAGAATATGGCCCTCCACCGAAACCAGAATATGGTCCGCCACCGAAACCAGAGTACGGCCCCCCAAAGCCATCCTTTGTAGCTCCTCCAAAACCATCGTACGGAGCACCCCACGGCAGCGGACCTCCAACACCACCACACATTACCTACGATGGCTGGCGACCAATGCCCGGCTCAGCAAGGCCTCAAGCTCAAGATGGATATCACGGTATTGGCGGACCCATAAACGTTCCAAGCAATAGCTATCTACCTCAACCGGCCTCTGATCTTCCTTCTCCTCATTCTGGGCCTGGCCATGACTTGGCACCCCCTTCAGCTGGTCAACATCCTAGTGATAGCTACGGCGTGCCACCCTCGGGGCAACACCCCAGTGATAGCTACGGCGCCCCACCTGCTGGTCAACATCCCAGTGACAGCTATGGAGCTCCACCCATTGGTCAACAACCGAGTGACAGCTATGGCGTTCCTCCGTCAGGCGGCTCTGGATCTAACTGTTGCGGCGCACCTCCCAACAATTACGCCCCCCAGGGCGATCATGGTCCTCCGGAACAACATCCTGGCGGCATCTCATACGGCGTGCCCTCTGGTAAACAAGTCGAGGGCCCCCACCACCTTCAGCCCAAGGTCCCGGTGAAGTTCCGCGAACCTGTGCCATCAGGTCTCATCGAGGCACAAGCTGGAAAGCAGACCTTCCACGGTCAGTCCTACATCCCACCCGCCGTCCCCGAGCTCCCAACTGGCGGTCCCTCAGGTCAATACGGTGCTCCCTCAGGCGGTCAGCACGGTGGTCACCAAGAGCAACATCCCATCCCTCAAGACGTCTTGCAGGGCTTAACGCAACACGGAAGCCAGATAGACATCCAACCTTCGATCCAAGTCGGGCTCGACTCTTCGGATAACTACCCAGCGGCACCGGGTGGCTCCTACGGTCCCCCCGGGGGAGACCCTCACGGGTCCCAATACGCAGCATCTCAAGACGCGCTATCTTTCGCGGCGCCGGGTCACTTCGGGAGCGGTAACAACTACGTGCCCCGAAACACGGATAACGTCCTCCAGTCCGGGGACTACGACCAGACCAACGCAGCAGACGCAGGTCAGAGCCCACAACCGATACAGTATTCCACGATAAAGCTCGACCAGATGAGCAACGGCGTGGACGGGAACGTCGGGTTCTTCCAGCAGAACCCTTTCGCCTACAACGCAGGCAACCAGATGTACCAGGTGCAAGGCCTGGGTGCTGCAGCGCAGGACCAGGTGCTGTCGAGCAGTCTGCTCCAAGACATTCTCAACGCGATCGAGCACCAACAGCTGGCGCCGAGCGAGGCGGCCGCCGCAGGATCCGAAGCCAAGCACAAGTGGGTGGACCTCACCAACTACCAGAGCTCCGCGGCGACAGAGTCAACGCCTAGTTTAAGTACCACTGTCACTGCACGATAATAAGACTGACCAAATTGTCTGCTCTTGAGCCGAGGACTTGTCATACTGTCTGCCTAATCTTCCGGGGGCAACGAGTTTGAACGCCATGAGAGGCGCTCTGTGCTACCGTCCTTTCCCACGGCGAGAGTCCTCCGGTGGCGATTCCCCAAGTTGGCAACATTATTTTTCCTCCATTTATACCCATCATATATATCGATTTACGTGAAGCACGCTGCTTTACCAATAATCGATTTTTTACATACATCTGAATGGAGGAAAAACAGTTTGCCAACTTTTAAGGATCGCCACTGAACTACAGCTCACAATTTTCAGCATGGAAAATATGCAACTATTTAACAAATGATTCATGCCTGCTACTGCGTTCCTCTGTACCTTGCTGTTCCAGTTGAAGGACATTGGAATGCAAATGAAGATGAAGTATATCCTTTTGCCCTATCAATTGTATGGGTGACGCAATAAACAACGCTGTGCTGTGTGTGGTACATACGGACTAAATGTTACAAAAAGGAATCGGGTCACATTTTTGAAAACAGGAAGTTACATGTACATATAGTTTGGAACCTACCCAACCGTATATTTTCTCCTGTGAAAAATTCTAATTCGAGAAAATTTTTTTCGCATATGAGAATAGGAACTCCATTTCTAACATTGGGTTTCCTGGAGGAATAAAACTTCAAGCTTCTTTTTCTCAGTTCGAGCTTCATATATAGTTGCCAGATAGTACTGAAAAGTCAGTGCTTTCCCCCATTTACACCCATGGAAAATATCCACACCTAATTGCACAATCTGGCAACTTTGACTCCATATAGCTTGGTTCATTTCTGCGCCTAAAATATACAGCGGAACATCGTACCATGCACCAACTTTGGAACAACTGGATTAATTAACTTTGGCCTGGGAATAATTCTCAATGGTATTAATACGATTCGGTCGGAAATTCAAAAGTCTGTGGAGTGTTTTTCCGAAGCAGGGAATACATAATTCCAATTATTTGATGGATCAATCATAGTTTCTCCTAAGGTCAGACAGTATTACATGTTTTGGTGTCGAACTAAAGCAAGGCAACTTGTAGAATTAAGTTTGTTGTTATTTATAAGTTGAATAGATTTAGGAACTTATAGCCTAAGTTGTAACATAAATTTGGCGAGTTACCTTACCTTATAAGAATTGAAAGTGTAAAGTCACACTTGCCATTTATAACTAGCGAATGTCATCGCAAATATCAGACTCACCGTCTTGTTACATGTTCTGCTCTATTAGAGTCATAGCTCAAAGGGGAGAAATATGCAGATTTTTAAGGTAAAATCGCCGCAAGCATTCCGCTCAATGAGCACGTGATTTCCGGTGGGAAAAAGTACTTCATATGTAAATATTTGTTATTTTATTTATTGGGAACGTGCTACCAACGCTCTTCCGGCATACTAAACTTGGGTTCCGTTTAGATAGGCGAAAGTCGCGTTTGGATGGAGTTCTGTTACTTAAATAAGCAGTAATAGTTTTTGCCCTAACTTTTTTTCCCCATGTGTGACCCGTTAACAGCCACATTTTTCAAAAGCAACCATTTACGGGTAAAGGGACCTCAAGGCATGGAGGCGAACTTTCAAGGGAGTTTCTTGTGTGAAGTTGGATCGAGGAAGGAAATAACTCTTCCTTGCTCGCAACTCAAATTCACGTTGTGCCGCAAAATTTAGGTCAGTAACCTATTTTATTGGGGTACGGCACTACCACAATTAATTAGAATTGTCTGTATCATCCAATAACCCTGTGTCCTTTTTTTTGTCAATGCCAAAGTATGAGTCTCCAGCATTCTTTTCATATTTTGTCAATTAAGGCGCATCAAGTCACCTTTTAACTCCGCACAATTCGAGCCCCATATATTGATAATTGAAAGTTTAAGTATAGTCTTGTTTCAAACTTGTGTTATTCCAACTAAAAACTTCAGACCGCCGTAATTTCATTTGTTTTGATTTGTTCGTGCGTGCTTCGTACCAGAATTTTTGTAAAACTTTCGATGCGCACCGAACCGTCTATAATTTTGAGTTTTTAAGGACTGAGGCCCTTCTACTTGCAGATGGTTACTTAAGCAGATTCCATCCGCGTTATGAATCCGTCCTTACGCGACACACGTAAAAATAATAAACGTCCAGCCCATCTACAAACTAGGGGCCTCAAAGAGGCTCATCGATGGAACTGTTGACTGTTGCCTTTTAAAGATCGTCGGGCCGACGATCTTTGAGGGTAACCGATGTGTTCGGGATACATCACAGATCAGATCTTGAAATTTTCAAGGCATTCCGTGCAGAAATGGCTGAGAAATAGAAGAATTAGTGCCAGTTTGAGAGCCCCAGTTTGTACGTGGGCTAGACGCTATAGAATTCAGCCTATTATAGCCTAAAAATAGCCTATATAATTTGCCGAGTACCTACTTTCTTATTGTTCCAATTTTAAAAGACATGACTGGAAGAATTTTAATATATTTCTTGTCCAATTCTAGGAAGCTCCTGCTTAAGATTATCGAGAAAGGCAAGCACCTAAACTTTTTTATTACTCTTCAGATTTTAATGATCCATTTCACTATTAGTATCTAGTCACAGCATACTAAAAATCAGATTTGGCACTGCAACCTTTTATTTTATTATTCTCATATTTTTGCAACATGTAGTAATTCAGATAAATTATTTTGCCTAATAGTATAAGGAAGTAGTCTTTTTATAATTGTTGTTTTTTTAAGAGAGGGGGGAGGGGGGTATTGTCGATAAATAGCTTTAGAATATTTCTCCTGATCAGTATGGGCGGTATCTAATTTGCGATTCGGATTTACGCATCTGTCTTGGGTTTTTTTTTTCCTCACTAGAAAGCCTCATTAGCCATTTAAGGAAAGATTAATTGCTTTGCGAAAGTATTCTACATGATCCAATGCAACAGTAGAGTGGAGGACCTTACGCTACCTTCTCATCTGAGACGAAATACACAGCATTTTTTAGATGTCGGCAGTTTTAAGAATTCCATTCGCTGACGGCGAGTTCGTTGGTTTGGTGCGTGAGAACACTTACACCCATGTCTTTAGAGAGAACGAGGTGTCGAAAGTGTACCGACTGTGAAGGGAAGGGGGAGGGGGATTTCAAAATGTGATATCAGCGGAGAGATCACCTTAAAATCAGGGAAAAATTCCTACGAAATAGTTTCGGTCGCGAACTGCGTTCTTTCATGAAATAAATGTTATGCCTGTATAAGACCGACGTCTATTTTGCCTGTTTCAAACTATTCAACGGGTTAAAACTTTGTTTGATATGTTAATGGAAATCTCTTGATATGCGGGCACGGTTTTAGCGATAGGCAAAGTCGCTTATAACCTGAAATTATTAGTATTATCTCTAAAAAAAAAATATTTTATTCATGTTTCGAGTTTTCACGTGCTTCTACACTACCGCTAAAGAAAAGTTTTAGTTGAAAAAGTTTAAACACTTCATTTTTTCAATTCTTCAAAAAAATTCGGATTTCGAAAGAAAAAAAATGTAACAGGACTTTATGAGACCAGCAAACCTAATGGTCGTAAAAAGAGAAAAACATTGAGTTCCACCGCTGCGTCGTGATTATTTTTCGCTCAAATTATTAAAAAACTCTTCCTTGCCTACCTCTTCCTTTAGAGGCATTCGCAGTAGCACAAAATCTATGTTCCGAGCTTTTCCGTGAAGCCTATAAAACATTTCCAACGAACGGTGAATTTTTTGTCTACGAGCTTGAAGTAAAGCATGAGTAGATGATCTGCTGAGTGACAGACTGTCAGGTTTTTTGCTTTTGCAGGAAAGAAAGCTTGTAAAACAAAAAAAAAACGTGGAATAAACCTTGTAAGAAATTCACGGAGTGAATCGTAAGGCGATAAAATCAGTATCGACTCGTTCGGGTGCTTTCACTGACTATAACATGTTTTTTTCTCGACTTTTACAGGAGGCGGCACCCATAAAACAATTTAGAGACCTGGAAGTGAGTGTAAAAAAATGAAGATAGTAGTTTTATTTGAATCCGCTGAAATAATAAGATTGACGAGACTAGATCCTTAAAGAATTTATTACACATAAAAAAGCCGTCGAACTCGTTAACTCATCGCAGAATTTATTACTTGTTTATTCATAATCACATAGACTGGTGACGTCGTCAGCTTTAAAGCAATCATCTTACCATATTACATATTTTGCAACTGTAATCGATATTTAGCAATCATGAATGCAATCCCAAGATGGATGCGCCAATCTAAGTAAAACCAACCGAACAGTGGCGTGGCGTGGATTGCGATGTATCGATTGTTATGCCATTTAAACCTATGATAAAGAATCGATTATTATGGTGCTCTCTGCAAACACCCTGTTTATCGATCCTTTTCCATAGGTTTAAATGGCATAACAATCGATACATCGCAATTCACGCCAGGCCACTGCTACCGAACCCCGTCAAAAGTATAGGCTTCTCCACTTTCATATTTTGTCATTTCCAATATTTGACTTGGCTATACTTGAGGTTACAAGTTGAAGATAAAAAGCGTTAATCTTCTTATTCTGTTCCGGAATTTTTTCGAGGATTCAATTTTCTCAAATCAAGTTACGATTACTTCGATTAAAAGTGTGTTGTGTGAAGTGTTCCAGTATAACGTTAAATAAAACTTTGTTACGAATCTGAAGTTTGCCTTCTTCATTGATCCCGCCTCGTCCGAATCAGGGATTTCCTTAAATCTGTTCTTTCGGAATAGGTGTGCATTTGAAATAGAATTTATACCACGATATTTACTTGCGGTCAATGTATAACAGTGGCGTGGCGTGCTGTGCAATATATCGATTGATCTGCCATTTAAACCCATGGAAACGGATCGATAAACAGAGTGTTCGCAACGAACACCTTATTAATCGATTCTTCACCATAGCTTCAAATAGAGAATATCGATAATCGATCATTCACGCCACGCCACTGATGTATAAGTGTATAAAATACATATCGATGGCTAAAATCGTCGACTCAAAGGCGTGTCTAAATTTCCACGAGAGCCCTGTCTTACGTATAAATCCACGCTTTCCAGGGATCATACCAGTGGCGTGGCGTGAATTGCGATGTATCGATTGTTATGCCATTTAAACCTATGGAAAAGGATCGATAAATAGGGTGTTCGCAGCGAACACCTTAATAATCGATTCTTTACCATAGGTTTTAATTGCATAACAATCGATATATCGCAATTCACGCCACGCCACTGGCTCATACGGGAATCGAGATACGCCCTTACGTCAGAGGAGCGACAAACCGTGGCACCACGTATCTCCATTGTTGGGGTTTCTCCAAATTTCCGCTCTTATTTTATTTTTTAGAAAAGGAACAAACTGCCTTTAAAGCTTGAAATTCACGCAGAATACTCTGCTGTCATGGAAGATAAATCAAGGAAGTTTTCAGAGAATTACATCGATAGCTTTCGAAAGAAAAGTAAAGTTTTACAGGAGGTCTGCAATGTCGCAAAAGGAGATATGTGGTTTCACACGTCGGCTATCGATATTTTTCATCAGTAATACATCCATGTTACACGTACATAAGAATTGATTTTATACACACACGAAATATGTGTGAAATCTAATTTTCCGCTTTGACATGGTATCTTTAACCCTCTTCCCTCTGCTGAATTTTGTGTATGTGTTATTTTTCCGCACAAGGGCACGAAAATTATTCTACATTTTGACCCAATACAAATATATGTTGTACATAGAAGTGGTATGTCATATGATATTTTACTAGTAGAATATTCATTTTTATGATACATTTCGATTGAGCTGATTCTTTTGCTTTGGTATGTGCAAAGAACATGTTCCCTCAGCGATGAAAGACTACTAGTTTAGTGACTGCCACCTTTGCACCTGCACGGTAGACCCACTTAAATATTCTTGAAGGAGAAAGTTGTGACGTAAACCTCAAATTTAAATTTTACTCTTCCTCACTCTATACGTCTCTTTTGATCGAATCTCAACCATTCATCTTACCCAAAACTTCGACGTGGTTCGCCTCGTTGGCTTTAAGCACTTTTTCCCATGAAAATCCGAATGTTGATATATGGTTTGACGTTTTATGATTTAAGATCGTCTAAAACGAGAGGAGGTTTCGATTATTTTCATTTCAGAGCCGCTCTTACATTTAATACTTGGAACACAAGGGTTATTGATTGAATTATTCTTCCAAGATTTTTTGAACAGAATATTGACAAATTTTGGCAAGTGAGAAACGATTGCGTTTTGATTTTGATACATTTCAAGGTAGGTACAAATCTACTGTATAAAATTTTTCGAACTAGTAAGCTTTTCTCCTTCGTATTTTGGATTTTTTACAGAGGGACATCATTTTAATCATTTGCAAGTGTCTATTTTCAAAATACTGCGGTCGAATTTTACTCGAGATTCTCGAAAATCGTCCTTTTCATGGTGTTTCGTTAAGGATCTACTGAAGCTTCCCTAACTCACGATGTAAACCAAAATAAGCTACCTATGGAGGGAAGCTGGACGGATGTGATTGTGAATACAGCCCTTAGAAATGACGGCACTGGCCGACAGCAGTGCTGAAAATATTGTCGCTCCTCTGACGTATGTACGCAACTCGATTTTCGTTTGAGCCCCAGAAATCATAGAGTTATACGGAGAACAGGGTTCACGTGAAAATTTGGATGCGCCCGTACGTCAGAGGAGCGACAATTTGTGAAGTCGCGCAGCACCACGGAGCACCACTGCGGAAGAGACTCCTACCGGACGGGGAACTTGAACGCGCGGCTAGAAAGAAGAGCGTAGACTTCACGCCACCGCACAGTGGATCAAATCAACGGGAGAGTTCGGACATGGAATTTTTTATTATAACTGGAAATTTTAACGTTTATTCCGTCAAATTCTGACTTTTAAGGGGTGTCGGTAGTAGGAGATTCCACGAAGAAGCCAATGAAACCACTTTTAGAACCTCAAAGTTTCGTATAAACGGAATTTTGAGCTTATAAAGTTTCAAAATTTTTTCCGGCTTTTCCTTTTGAATCGATCCTTTGTGCGGCGCCGTAGAACTGGGGCTGGAATACCGGACCGGGAACTAAGAGCGCGAGATGCCGCAACGATTAACACAGTGCAGCCGCGAAAAGTTCTGCGGTCACGCCACCGCACGGCACCGTCTCTCGAAAGTCTGCGCACTTTTATCGCCGCCGCCGCTTGTCGCCGAAAAAATGTAGGACGCCGCGCTTCATCATTCCTTTTTCAATAGCAATCGAGCGTTGACCCTCTCCACTGAAAATTCCGTTATTGATGAATGAATCGACAGTTACCGTCGAAAAAGTCTCTACATCGCAAAGTTTCAAAATCTCCAGTCGTGTTTCATTTTTTTTTTTTTTTTTTAAATAGACAATCAACCATAATTTTTTTAGACATTCTATAAAAGTGTTGTTGATGATAAGTAAACAAAAGTGGTCATAAAATTGTTTTTAAAAAAGGGAAAGAAGAAAATCGTCGGTTAATTTTTATGTCAAGAACAAAATTCAGTGGAGACTCACAACGTCGCAATTCCAGTTGTGAGTTTCTTGACCTCAATCATCGATCTATTAGTTTAAAAAAAAAAAAAAAAAAAAAAAAAAAAAAAAAAACTTTAGTTAATTTACGAGAGTCTTGTGTTTCTTCCATTTTTTCATTTCGCATCATAATTTTTTATCAATGTTTTGTTCATATTTACGTGATCTTTATTTTTTCTTCGTATCCTCACTATCATCGGTCCGCTTGAATTTTTCTCCTCGACTTTTCCGTCCTTTATCTTAAATTTTTTTCTTACCATCATCGTCGTGGTATCCTCTCTACAATTATAATTTTCATGCTTTCTTGACTCATGCCCAAAGACCGTCGCAATTCACAGGCGGTATTTAGGGAATTTGAATTTTGTTTACGTCCTCGCCAGCAACTAGGAATCGCTAAAATCGTTGTCCTCTCTTAAGAATTTGGGAGGGAGCCGATATTTCTAATCGACTTTTCTTCTAAAAAGTGATGATCTGCATGCAAAAATACTCAGCAACGCCGCTACTGCTTTCCTTATCATGGCGCGCGTGCCGGCAAAAAATTGTCGAAGGTAGGTGAGCCTCTCCGAAAAAAGTGATGTGGGTCTTGGCAAAAACTGCACACTTTTCACCGAGCGACCACAAACAATCCAGCGGCGAATCCGGCTTTCCGAATCCAAGTAAAAGTTCGTTGGGTGTCTAATCGCCGACGAATTTGCCAGAGTCGCGCAAAAAATTGGCGAGGAACCACGCGCGGAGCCCATAAAAAAATCCGTGAATGAGCGAGGCCCCGCCCACTTTGAACTTGGGCGCTCTCTCCGGCAGCGCGCAACGTGTGTCAGTATTTCGATGACATTGATTTCTTTTGTTTGGCACGCATTCGTCGGTGGCACCGGTATCTTTGAAGTCGGCGCTGAATCTATTTGCATGCGCTCTTAACGGCCCGCTCAACGCTATCATCGATCACTGTCATCCTAAGTCAAAACCGCGTATCCTCGATAGAAATCCCCTATGCGGATCCGTCGTTTTTGCCCGCTATGGTAGATCATTTGCTGCCGCTTTTTCGTCCGCATTCTGACGATCTTATCTTTGCAGTTGCCAAATTAGTTCCGTCAGCAAATTATCGGCGTTCTGCGGGCTGACTGTTGGAATTGGTGGACAAAGCTATAGACGAAGAGGACGAAAGGGATATGGAGGGATGCTATCGGTGGAAATGGGTGGTTGTGATGGACAAAGAAGGTAGGTAGTAGACTAACTAACGGCAACCCACGAGAAACCCTACAGTTAGTCGAGCATTTTCTCCCTCATTCATGTCTCAAATTTCCGCCGCCATTTTATTTTATTACAGAAAAATTCTTGGTTGAACCTGTAGGAAAATTTTACTGAATTTTATCGGCAGCACAAAGAAAACTCAGAGAAATTTTCTGACAGCTTCGTCGAATAATTTCTCTGTAAAAAAATGAAATGGCGGAAATTTTTAAACGTCGCATGGTGCTTGTGATACTTCTAGTGATACTTTGGCCGGAAGGTGACGATATAAGTACTCCAACCGTAGGAGCTCCTAGCTCAAACCGTTCGGGAAATATGAGTCTCGTGGTCCACTTGGCACTCAAGCGAGTGGGCATGAAGCGTCAATTTAGACTCTGTCTTGTAGTTTCGTCGACAGCTCTCGGCGGGGCGCATGATTAAGCGGTAATGGTCGATAATCGGCGCGCGAAAAGTTTCGGGAGTCGGATCTGCGCTCCACGTGGACAAAGACCCGGCGAGGCAGAGCCACGCTGGATCCACCTAATGGGAAAAACAAACAGGCCGGTTTTATGACGGTCAAGTCCAGCGACTCATGCTCGGCTCTCCACACGATGAAAGTTGTATCGGAGTCATGTTCGCGACCGCGGCTCGGCTCGCAAGGGTCAGAGGTAAGTGCTCAATAAGGCCGTGACACTCACTTTCTGGTGCTAAGCTTTGTTTATCGTCTATCGAGCCGTGATTGGACGTCCTCTCGACGGCATTTTCCCACGGCGACAGATTGAAAGTCTTATGACGCAGGTGGCTGGCATCTAGAATCCGTTGTGGCTGATTTTTTATCACAAAAAAGTTACACTGAAAAAAAAATCTCTGTGTATTTACCAAGAAAA